AACATCTTTGTACGAAACTAAAACTCAACCAAACAGTTTATTTTTTCAATATGTGAACAGAATGCAAAGAAAATAAATTGTTGATCATAATACTCCATTCCAATTCTGCCTAAATTAGATATCTATATGAATATATAGGCAAACAAATTAAACTATATTTGATTCCATAACAATAAAAGTTAACTGATTCCAACAAAAAATTAGATTCAAACAAGAAGATAGTTATGGTCCAAGTCCTCCCCATGTCCAATACTCCAATAAGCAGAACTTATAATTCAGTTATGTATCAGCTAATACAGCTCACATCTGCACATGATTCGTTATTTTAAAAGCATTCCAAATATAACAATAACACTACTTATAAGTTCTCTTTTAAATACGTAGTATAAGTTTTCTTTTAAATATAGTCATGCTTTAGTCAACTTTTTGGTATTGTTACTCTCAACATTGTTGTATTAGAAACAAATGCTAACAATGTCGAAAAAGCTGAAATAAATCAGGGCAAATGTAAATAGAGGCTGCAGAGCAAAACATTACTTGATTTCGTGTGGGTATTTAAACAAACACATAGATGACACAAATATAGAGGGGAAACTACACAATTGGAAGTGGGAAGAATCAACGCGAGCCACCCAAACTATTCTCATAAACAATGGTGGGAGCCTGTATAGTACAACCACAGAGGGAGTAGGGAGGAGGCAGAATCGAATATAGGAAAACTCAAAAAAAAAACTTCACAGACAGGGAAATAATTAAACGAATGCGCACGTAAATAAACAAGGGGTCTGAAACAGAGATGCTTAGAACAGTAATGATAAAGTAAGGATACAATTCAAATCGGATGAATAAAGGAAAAACTTACAGTTAATACCATTGTTAGCTAAGCTAATCGAAAAATCGTATTCAAATAAGATGAACGAATCGGATGAATAGGGAAGAAGGGAAAATCTGCTGAGTATGCTGAGCGGCTGAAACCTAAGAGAGTAGCTGAAAGGGTGAGGTTAGGCGCAACTGGTTATGTGTAGTGGGTTGAAATCACCGTTAGTGCCCACCGGCTGATGCCTTTATCTAAAATACTTTTATTGCAATACGGAGTAGAAGTTGAGACATAATGGAAGTTGTTTTAAACCGTAAGGGCATAACGTTGAAATCACCGTAAGTGACGGAAGCTGCGACAACGTACAACAAAGTAAACATAAGGTACAATGAAATTATGCACTAAGAACCACCAACACTTTTTTTATTACCGTTTAACCCCTAACATTATTCCCCCTTATACTATTGTAGAGAAATCATTGTACCATATGCTATTAGATCATTGTTTCATTTATTTGGCCCGTCAAATTATCAAATGCACCATCAAGCTTAGTAAACGATGTTAAAGTCTAGCTTTTCTCTTTTGAAATATTTGTTAAATTGAACATGTTGCTTCAGTTCATTGGATGTAATTGGTTTTAATTTTTCAAAATTTATTCCTCAATTTAATGAAATAAATTGATTATAAATTAAGATCATGATTTTTATGCTCATTCAATAACATGAAGCATCTCATATCAATTACTATATCTTTAGTTGTTGAGGTTTATTCCTTCAACCTTTAGGTCCAACACGTAAGCCCAAAGATTTCGAGTGGATTGTTTATGTGTGTGTATAACTGATCCAACGAACAAGTAAGATGGGCTAAGAAAATGATTAGCAAGTAAAGACCGGGTATTATTAATGATAAATAACGCCCTGATACAATATATATTCTTGCTAAGGCCGAAGGCCTTTTGTCTAGACCGCTAAGGTAGAGCTGCGAATGCTAGGCTACGTGCCCAAGTAAACTAGAATGCTAAGAGTAATAAGTTGTCAACCCCTTACAATGAAATAAATGCTGATGGCCATGCTGATGTGGAGAGCTATGAATGGCTGATGTTCCAACCACCAAATCCCCAGCATTAAATGTGCTTCCCCAGCACTAATTCGTGGAGACGAACGTCTCCCTGGCTTAGGGCATGCTCCTGGTGATACTTGCAAAGGATCGTGGCCGTTCGTATTATGGCCCTTGGTAGAATCTGTTATGTAGCTTGGGTCGGATCCCTTATGAAATTTACATGTCAATCACAGTTTTCTCTTTAGTTAATATATTATTCAATTTCAAAAACATTTACAATTTTTTAATTGTAACTGAATACTCTCTAAACTCTATTAACTTCATATAAGAATATAAGAATAAGAATGGTTTGCATTTTAAAATTGTATTTTTTTTTGTGTGTGGATAAGAAGAATTCAAGTTGTTGGGGAACCATCTTCTTACCCATTCAATTGAATTTCAACACAACATATAACTTTTCATTTCCATTCGAGACATGACACGGAAATATCTTTCTCATACGACGACAAAGAAAACGAAGGCCCCGGTGAAAGGCTGATTCTCTGAAGATAAAGATATGAACCTTGCAAATATAGGAGATAAAATTTGTACACACCCATCCTCCACTACATTTCATCGCGCAAGTAAGGCATTTTTATGATTTACATAGCATGAAGAACTTAATCATTTCTGAAATAAATTTCACATAAATTTCACATAAATTTCAAAATTTCATGACAAAATATTTTAGACGTATGCTATGAATTGAAATGCCTCTAGGCTCTAGCATCTTAAAAGTGAATAATGTGTTCAAAATTTGATATATTATGATTTTTGCTATTTTTCTTCCTCGAAAAGGGAAATAGGTTCATGAACATATGGTTCAAATCGAGTGCAATTTATATTACAGTTGAGAATAAGAGGCATTGCTCAAGTATTTTAAAGTTGAATTAAAGCACAATAAAACATATTTGAACAATATTAATTTGTCAAATCGATACCCGTCAACTTTTGGCACTATATGTTTTATTTGGAAAGCCTTGAAGTTTTAAAAAATTGAAAACCAAATGCCCTCCTCATTTGCCTCCCCATGTGCATCCCCACCTTATCCAATTGATTAGCCAAAAGTTTGACCTTGATACTTTCGCTCTTTCGGGGTAAATATAAAGGGATGTTGGCAAAATTCCGCTTGGGATCAAGTAGCTAGACTAGACTAAAATTTTCTAGTTTAGAATGGTCTTGTCTGAACTGGTATGATTTAGTTTGATGAGTGTATGGTTTCTATGTATCTTATAACTATCTAAGTCTAGTATCTGATCTCACTTTGTTTGGTCTTAAATTGAAACATTCCAAATAAAAATATCATAAATCTCTGTCTGTCAACCCCTTAAATTGAGCGTGTTTTCCATGCCTTTTTTCGAAGAAAAAAATAGAGATGAAATCCCCCCCGATGGTGGGTACGTACACTGTCCCACGGTGGATACATATTAAAACCTCCTCATCACTAGCCGATATTCCCTCGAATTTCATTGTCCTCGGATTTAAAGTTAGCTATTGGTTGAAACCTCAACGACTCAAAAAAAAAGACAACTCAATGACTCTTTTAAAACCCTTCATTTTACCAAATGATTTCGAAAAAACGAGACTGAACCGCTGAGTCATTGATTGACCCGAGCAGGGACTGTCGTGTCGTTTATAGGACTGGATCGGGACCGCCCAATTTTTTATCGAACCGAACATAGGTCGTTGGGTCATTTGCCAGACAAAGATGGGGGCCACATGGGTCGTTGATCAAACATGATGCGGACCGTCGGGTGGCTAACCGGACTGAATGGGGACCGCCGGGTCATTGGCCGAATAGGACGGGGACTGTCGAGTCGTTGACTAGATCGGATCGGACCGGGACTGCCCGACCATCGATTGGACCGGGACTGCCCGACCATCGATCGGACCGGGACTGCCCGACCATCGATCGGACCGAACAAGTATCGCCTGGTCGTGATCAGATCGGACAGGGATCGTCAGGTCATCGACCGTACCAGACAGGGACCGTCGGCTCGTGGACCGGATTGGGACATCTGAGTCGTGGACTGTGGACCGGACGAGACCGTCGGGTCGTGGTTAGGACCAGGACCGTCGAGTCATCGACCGAACTGGGCTGGGATTGCTTGGCCGTTAATCAGACCGAACATGGACCGCCTGGTCAATGATCAAATCGGACAGCTAGGTTGTTGATCGGACCAGATAGAGACCATCGAGTCATTGACTGGACCATAAGATTATTGACCCGAACGGACATGGACCGTTAGGTCAATGACCAGACCGAACCTCTAGGTCGTAGACCGGACCGGATAGGGACCATCGGGTCATGACCGGACCAGACTGAAACGGACATCGGAGCTAGACCGGATCCAACATTAGGTGTAAGTATGTAAATTCATTGCAGCGGCACTGCGACATTCGTGTTTTCCAAATTTGGAAAAATTGTAAAAGATACTTCTCTAATTCATTAAGGAAAACAGATATGTATCTCATTTTTTAGTTTTGGAAAGCGATTTGGTAACGCAAATTTATGTTTTCCTTTCTCCAAGTATTCCATCAGTTTTTTTGTATGCAGTTTTCTGTTTTCATTTTTCTAGTTTTCTGAAACTTGGAAATATCTCCGTTAGTAAACATGCCCTAAATTTTTAGTATGGCATGTGACGAGAAGTCAGATGTTTTTACTTGGATTGTTTTCAATCCCAGACCAGACCAGTTCGGACCAGAGCAGATTGGACCAGATCAGACTAGACCAATCCAACTCAGAATTGGATTGTTATAACTTATAAGATACACATAATCAGACATTTATCAGACTAGATCAAACCAGTTCAGACCAGATCAGATCAGATCAGACCAACAAATTTCAGTCCAAATAAAAATGGATATCAATAGTGCTCTACGGAAGCGGATGAGTCATGGGCCTCAGCCCTCAGGGCTCAAAAACTTTAAAAAAATTAGTGGCCCAAAACTGAAATACCGATATACGAAGTATCATACGACTGCGTATATAGTCCGTATGTATTTTTAAATTATACTCCGTATATTGGCTGCCTTTGTGTTAATAATTTCCTCTTCAGCGCTTTAAAAGCAGAATAGCCAACCAACGAAGATGAACAACCAAACAGATTGAAGAAAAAGGGCGTTACAGCGATTTGCGATTCCTGGATCAATCGATCAACCGAGACAAAACAATAAGAAGTAATTATATTATCCTGTTTTGCCTACTAATATTTTAATTATTTGCTGATCGTTTATTTATTTTTCCTTTCCACATATTACATATACATACACTAGAGAATATAATTAAAGCTGCCAATATATGCATACTAGAGTCGAGTAGTCGACCGTATCTAAATCTCTTGCTCTGATTAAATTGTGATGTTGCGATGCGGTCTTAGATTTTGTTTGTTTTAATCTTGAGAAGTGTCTGGAATCAATTTCACTATTGATCATTGATCAAATTCTTGTTCTGGTTAAATTGTGATGTTGTGATGTGATCTGATATTTGGTTTGCTTGAATCTTGAGAAGTGTCTGGAATCAAATTCACTATAATCGTTAATCAAATATGTTGTTGTTTGGTGTTTAGTAGTTATAAAACTGCTAATCTGCTATACATGTATAACACATAAAGCCATAAATGAAGGTAGACACAGAAAATATTTTTGAAATCATGGTTAAATCATATTTTTATTTATTTTTAGTAATATTAGTACACATATGACTCCAATAAATCATGTTTTTTTTATTTATTTTTAGTATTGTACCTCTCAAATGCATGTCCGCATACTTTTAGTTTTTCTAATGGTGTTTAGTTGTTTACTTCAAAATATCAGACTACAAAAAATTGCAATCAATATGGGCCTTTTATGAAGCTTGACTCACTGACTTAAGCTCGAGTTTGGATAGGATCTACACTGATCACAAACGGAATTCACAAAGTTAAAACACTTCCAAAGGGGCTAGTTACATTCAATCCCACTAACAAATATTAATGACAATAATACAATAAGGAATAAGAAAAAATACATTTCAATTAATTATTCTCCAACCATAAGAGGTAGCAGGATAACAAACGAGATATTTCTTCAACCTACACACTTTAGCATGTTTATCATGCTCCTCTCTCTGTGTTATAAGTGGCAGGCAATCCTGGCTATCAATGGATCCTTCAAACTTATTAGCCTCGCCCATGACCTCCAACTTTGCCACTCTTTCCCTGACCTTGGAGCCCCCTCATCCATCCCACGCCCAATTCCTCTTCCAACAACATTATCTTCTCTACCTCTTCCCCTACCACACCCTACACCAGGTGGCTTCCTGTCTAATTCGGCTTTTTGTTTCTTCTTGAACTTTATCAATCACCTCATCTGGAACCCGGAGATATTTAATTGTATTCCCACGAATATAGCGTTCTGGCATTCTCCAAATCCTATCTCCATCCTTCCAAAGTACAGGTACTTTGTGGTGATGAGTATTCATGCAAATATCGCAATTTACCAAATGACCGTTATAAGTTTCCCATTCTTTAGTTCCATCAACATGGGATGCCCCTGGGCAGTTTTGAGGAGAGAAAGCAGAAGCAATTAGGAAGCACGACAATCCAAATTCCCAGATGACACAAGCTGTAAACTCTACCTCTCTAAGCTAAAAGAGGAAAGGGGGTTAGGGTTAGCTGTGCGCTCAGATTTTGATTTGAGAGTGGAGAGTCCACTGAATTATATATTTGGACTTATAGTTAGTTTGGTGTGAATCCCAGGAATTTCCGTACTTTACTGGTCGCAATATTATCTGTGAATGCAGTCCTTTACAGATTTTTGAAATTGAAAAAAATACGAGTATATATTTCTTTCATAATTAGATCATATAGCCTCACGTAGATGGCTTTTCTTTTCAGTATGCAAATTATTCGATATTCTCCTTGTGTTTACCATTAAAATACAGTTATGATTTATGGTCACCTATGTTGCACGGATACATGAGATTCACGGGGTAAATGGGAAACACCCTCTTTTAATAGAAAAAAAAACGTTTTAGAGAGTTTCCGTAAACAGAAACATACTCTTTCCCCGAGAGTGTCCGTGCTTCACTGATGACCATTTATCCATTACTATTGTTTGTTAGAATCGGGCTTACAACTCATGGTGGTCAATGAAGATATAACATATGTCGTCTATATAAGAAATAATATATGTTGAACTATACTACTTTATTGCTTGAAGGGTGAAATTCAATATGCGGTAAAGTGGAATAAGGATCCTGTAGTATTTGATTTGCTTACTCTGACCAGTGTATAAGATACTGAAGATACCACAAGATTTGGTTGTTTTCGTGGTAAGTATACTACAATAAGTGATACAAGTGACCGTTCGTGGGTTATTTTTGTCTGTGTGACATGCTATTCTTGCATATTTATTTATTTAGCAAATATTCTGAAAGCCTTCAGTTTAGAGATACTTTTTCACACAATTATTCATTTAACCTTGCTTTTGCATCGTAGTAGATCCCCGCGCCCATCAAAAGGGAACAATTTTGTTGCATTGTGGCATGTTTTATATGATATGACATCATAAAGTTGAGGCCCTTTTCACCATTATTCAGGGATCTGCCATGTGGCTTCTGATACTTATAAAAAGTTCATGATTTGCACAATTCCATTTTAATGATGTAGTGTTAGTTGCTTTCAATTTTCTATTTACAGAGAGTCTAGAGTGCTATTTTACAAATGGGATGTTACAAAATATTTTCTTTGAAGCTGTGTTTTAAGCTGACATCTACTGTCAAAATTGAATTCTTAGTAGTATTAAATAAGTAGGATTGTAGGGTATGTTGCTGCATCAGTTTTTTTAATAACATCATAGAACATTGTAAAATTAATGGTTTTAGTGTTAGTAACAGTTTGAACTCACATCACCAGTGCACCTAAATGGCATCTTTAAAACAAAGCACGCGAGAAGAGGCAGATAACAATCATGCTCTTCTCCGTAAGGAATGGGATGAAGCTTCATGCCCGATATGCATGGATCACCCACACAATGCTGTCCTTCTACTTTGTAGTTCTCATGATAAAGGGTGTAGATCTTACCTTTGTGACACAAGTTATAGGCACTCAAACTGTCTTGACCGTTTCAAGAAAATCCCTGAAGAAAATTTTCATTTGCCCCCATCTCCACCAACATCAGAATTAAAGCAGAGCCTCAAATGTCCTTTATGTCGGGGGGATGTGTTTGGGTGGAAAGTCATGGAAGAAGCTAGAGAACACCTCAATTTGAAGCTTAGAAATTGTTCTCGTGATTCGTGCACGTTTGTAGGCAACTATAAGGAATTGCGGCTTCATGCCAGGAGGGCCCACCCCACAGTCCGCCCAACTGAGGTTGACCCATTAAGACAAAGAGCTTGGAGAAGCCTTGAAGAACAGAGAGAGTATGATGACATCATCAGTGCTGTTAGAACAGCTATGCCAGGGGCTATGGTCTTTGGGGACTATGTGATAGAGAATGTTGGAGGAAATAGGGTTTCTAGCTCAACTGGTAATAATAGGGATAGAGGGGCTGGATTGATGAGTACATTTTTTCTCTTTCAGATGTTTGGATCAATGGGCTCAATGCCTGATCTGAGAAGGGGTGATGGGGGGTCAGGGGATTTGTCAAGGCACCGTCGTTCAAATAATGGACCTTTTTCAAGGCGTCGCTCTCTTTGGGGTGAGAATCTTTTAGGACTTCAGGATGAAGAGAGAAACAGGGAAGATAATGATGACCCTAACATGGATGTAATGAGTGATGAGGCTCCCTCTGATAGGAGGAGGAGAAGGAGGCGTCGATTTATTTGATCTTTCAATGTCAAATGAAGATCACCAGTAGCATTAGACAATCATTCTGGTAGTGTAATCTCAGGATCACTTAGTTTAGAACCCGTTTGGTATGGCTTGAAATAGATAAATTGAAACTGCGGAAATTTTCACTATATATGTTGAGTCATTTAAAAAAAAGGTTTAAATATGTTTTTAATCTTTGCAAATATAGTACATTTTGTTTTATGTCCCAGTAAAATTACTTTTAAATTAGTTTTTTTGGTTTTCATCCCTAAAATGTAAGTTGCTTTTCTTTTTAGTACATCAGCAATGATAACCTCTGTTTAAAAATGAAATAATCCCGGGTAGTAGGTTTCATGTAATTTTTTATCATGGTACTCAAAAAGTATTTAATTATGTTTTTAGAAGGGTTTAATACATATTTTAAAATGTGAATAGTTAGTTTTACATAGTTTTAACTTTCATATTAGTCTCAAAAAAATTATAAAAGGATAAATTTAAGTTTTTCGTAGATTTCTGCAATTGATAATATTTGTTTTTGCAAATAGAGTTTTCTAGAATTAGAGATGGACTAAAAATAAAATGGTGCCAGGGATGAAAAACAAAAAATATTTTATAGAAACCTAAAACAAACAAAATGTCTTATATTTGTAGGGACTAGAAATGTATTTAAACTTAAAAAATACTCCGTAATAAATTAAACGTTAATCTTAGCCAACCAAACGGGTTCTTAGCATCCCTTATGTTATTATATTTGATCTTGCGGTTAGACTTAAACGAAATTCTTCTATTGTCCCGCCAATGTGCAGAGACCCTCAGATCCATAAACTTGATGCAACTTATTCCCTGAGTTTTCAGAATGGCAGATTTGTTTGGAAATGGGCAATAATTGATGGTGCTGGTGAATTATGTTCCATTTATGATCCATCTTAAACTGTAACATTTGTATATATTCGTTTGTATTTTCTGTAATCGTTCTATGTGCAAGTGCGTAATACTGTTGTTCACTCGTATTTAATCTCTATATATTGAAACTTATCTCTATTGATGAAACATGAGTGTGTTGCTATTTTTGCAGTGCTCTCCGCCTCTCCTCAAGGTTTTCAATCGAACTAAAAAAAGTATCGAGCAAGATTGATTTAGGCTCTGTTTGCAAACTCTGTTGATAAGTGCTTTTGGTTTTTTTAAAGAAAAAATCACTTATTTTACCAAACATTATCAACTTTTACTATCTCGGTTTTCGTGTAGAATTTACTTTTTACTTTTTCTATTACACAAAAAGCATTTATTTTACCAAACATTACTAACTTTTACTAATCACTTTTTTTTTTCAAAAAGTGCTTTTATTTAAGCACAAGTGGTTGCAAACAAAGTCTTAAGATACTACGTACATTTTAGATATTTTACTAAGCATTCAATATTTCAATTTGTAGGTAGTGATGGTCTCAACCGGTTCCGGGCCCGGGTCGGGCTAGGTTCGGCCGGGCCCAAAAAAAATATGTGAGGCCCAGGACCGGCATGGAAATAGGTCGGTCTGGGCCCGGGCCAGGCCGGGCTGGGTCCGGTTATAATTTTTTTTGTTTTCTTGATTATTTTTATCCCCTACCCCACCCCCCCCACCCCACAAACCCATGTGAAAGACCCATTCCAGCCCAATTAACCCAGCCCAAAGCCCCAAACCAACAAAAAACAAAAACAAAAAAAAAAAAACAAAAATTGAAAGGCCCGAACCGGGCCCGGAACCGGCCGGGCCGGTTCTCATTTACCTAAGCCTGTACCCGACCCGATTACCCACCCCAAATCGGGCTTAGACTCGGAACCAGTACCTGGTTCCCGGGTCGGGCCAGGCCCACACAGTACCGGGCCGGGCCGGTTTCCGGGCCGGGTGGTCCGAACCGGGTCCAAGCCTATAATTAGCATTCCAACACCATGTGGTGCAAGTCTCACTCTAAATATGGGTGAGTCCAGTTTTGCATTTCAGTTTTGATCAAAAATCAAATACGGAATTAAAGTACAAAAGTTTAATTCTGTTTGATTTTACATTCTGAAACATGAAATAAACAAGTCCATAACATGAGCAAACAGGCAAACATGCCAAAAAGATAAATATAAAATAAAAATGAGCAAATAAGCAATCATATCTTGAAATTTAGTTAGAGAATAAATATTTTTCCAATAGTTTTGAAAAAAGTGTAGTAAGATTATACTATGTCTATTTTATATAAAAAGGTTGAAGTTATATTTTTTAAAGTTGTAGATGTTACCTCATTGTTCTTTATTTAACATTTTTTCCTACGCAAAAGTATATGTTATATGAGATGTTTTTGAGATGAATATATTTTATTTTTTCAATAAAAGTTTCCAATAATTACCAGTAAAAATACATCCTTCCCATGCAACAAACTAAAAATCTACAAAAATGTGCAAGTGTGGCGTACGTAAATGTAAATAGCTATAGGAACATTGTAAATGTTGTAGAACTAATGTAAATGAAAACAAAGTATATTCAGTGTAACTGCGGTGTAATTAGTATATTCATTGTAACCGTGGTGTAATTGTGTAAACAACAATTTAAGGAAAATTTTACAATTTTCTTTTGTAAAACAAAAGAATGTACATATATACAAAGTTTAAGATGGACAAAATCTCAATTTTGGGAATAGGGATCCAATCAGACTAAAATTGTTGAGTTTTTTAACCGCAATTATAGGTTGAGATGGTGATCGGGTCAAGAGTTATATATGTGTCGGTCACTATTAGCTATTATGGGATCAAAACAGATTGGGGAGTCGGATGTACGCATTGTTGCCCTTGTAATAAAGTACAAAGAGATTGTTTCCGATAAATTCCCTCATAATAGGTTGATGTAATGAAACTCATTACACTTTTCATCAAAATATTTTGTTCTAGTAAGGAATGTGTCAATACTCCCCTTTTGCTACAAATGTTGATCTTTTTGTTTCATTGGTCACGATGTATCACTCTTCAAACAAAAACGGGTTTAATTTTTTAAATAAAAAATAGTTCTATACCCTACATACTCAAACAACTGATTACAAAATTGATTTGGCAATCAACATAAAATAAATGTTGAGAAGGTTGAGATTTTTCACTGTTTGCAAAACCATAGTGATAATTTCATCTGTCCCATTTCCTAATATATAATTTTTGTGTTGTCCAAAAAATATACACTCCTAAATTGAACTGCACTAACTTTTTACTTTCCAATGATCTCTTTCTCTATCATTTCAATTTTCACCTTTTACTTTTTATTGACCCATTTCGAACTTTCTTCGTGAAGGTTCAGATTGTGATATAATGATAAATTCTTTACTTTCTTAAAACCCGTTTTAGACTTAAATGTATCTTATATAATGGGACAAATCACATATAGTAATACTTTAACACAGGAGGATAACCAAATCTTACTAGCAAAACACTTTAAATTGCGGCAAAGAAATTACCAGCTTTTGTCATATTTCAAGAAAAGATATCAAGAGAATATTCCACAATTTAACCAAAGTTACAAATATACATTCACTACATCCGGCAATGCAAATAAAACAAACGTAGAATAGGTTGAGATTTCACTTTTTACAACTCAGTAATTACTCATATCTATAGAACTTACAAGCCAGGCGATGATGGTAAGAAATCAAAGGAGAAAATGCCAAAAGATTACAACTAACAGAAACTGCCAATGCACAATTTGCACACAGCTTTGGGCCCTCACCATCAACTCTCGGCCTTTAGTTGCAAGTGGGGTTTCCTACACACGGTGTTCCTAGCTGGATTTGGGATGTCATGATTGTGTTTGCCTTCGTAAGCAGTGATGACCGCTTTGGGATCTGCTGAAGCTCTTTCAACGTGTTTACGCACTCTGCATCCACTAAATGTGCATCTATAGTAACTCCTGCAGTAAAAATTTGATAGCATATGAAATAAATTTGAAACGGCCTTTAGGAAGCATACAGTATTTACCTTTACCAAGATGGTTTGGGTGTTTGACTTCATAGAGCTTGATATGTTTCTTCTCTTTTTTTGTTAACATTATCGAATTACTAGTTTGAGCTTGATATGCTTTGCCATCATAAAAAAGACTGAAATTTCAGTCCAAGAGGTTAAGTTGATTGCAACAGTAGCCCGAAGCCTTGAGAGGTGTTTTGGCAACCAGAAAAGTTAATTTTGACTTCTGTGTTGGCCGTTTCAAAATTACTACGTAACATGATTATTAAAGGTATGAGCAAGTTTGATTTATTACACAACATATATCATGTAACTTTTGAAATCACAAAAAGTGGAAACAACCTTGAACAAGGTCTTGTTTTTGTTTTTACATTTGATCGATTTGCCATAACTTCACCAACGAAAGTTGACAAAGTTTTCGCCTTACGTTTTTGGCATAACACATATTCCAAAATTTTCTTGATTTTCTTCTTGAATGTGAAGCACGAGAGAAAACTTTTCTTACTCCCAAACTATCATGACATGGCACAAAATACCTAGTATGAAAACTCAAATTCTCTTTACAGAAATGCTGTTTTACAAAACAGTTATACTTTCAAAGAAGTCAACCACAATGTGGTATGACACCAAATTGTCAAAGAATGCAGGGAAACTCACTCTAACAACTTTTTTTTTGCATGCATAAAGAGGAAAATGAGTACCTTGGATGAGTGTTTCCTTTGACTACTTTCTGCCCATATTTTCTCCACTTGTATCCATCATCCAAAAGGTCAACTTCACTCCTTGTCTGCACTATGATTCTGGGTTTAGTGACTGTTCTATGAGATGAGGGTGGAGCAGATGACACAACCTCTGCCTCTAAGCTCCTGCAGTCAAAGTCACTTCCTAGATCAGGCAACTACAACACCAATAGCAAGCTGTTCTCAGCTTCTCTATTTAGCATGCAGGGTGAAAAGCTAGCTTAAAGCAGAAAATTGCTAAAAGCTGATATAGAGAAACTACGTGCTAAAATTGGAAATCTGTAATAGTAGGTATTAGAAGTGTTTGATACTACGAGATGTTGACTAGCTGATAAATGGTGTTATTTTTGTAAAAGAATAAGTTTATTTGTAAGAAAATAAACAGGTAGGAGTTCATTTTAAAAGGTATTTGAAACACCCTTTCATAAAGAGCTTATTTCACTCATTCTCTTACGAAACATAGCTGATCACTTGGTGCAGCTTTAAGTTATTGGCCCCTCCAGAAAAATGTTTAATGTTACTTTTAATATTATACGGAGTATCTAGAAACACCTCAGCCAGATGTATTTCTCGTTTCCCTTTTCAGAATACAAACAAGCATTATCAAACAGCAATTCACCTTCTCTTAGGAATGTGTTCATCGTCCTCGTCACATTCAACAACTGTCTCCTCCATTTCATCAAGTTGCTGAGATGGTAATTTGGTGGATAACAGGTCCGACTCAGAAAACTCAATCTCGTTTGACCCGTTAACTAGAGTCAAACAACGAGAAGCAGTCGCAGGCTTCATCTGTGGTTCATTATCTCTGCCCTCCACATCACAATCATCCTTCTTCCTTTTGTTAGGGTTAGGAAGTTCGTGGTTATGCTGCCCTCTATATGTGATCTCAGTAATGTGCCCATCAACGGACCGCTCAACTTTCTTCTTGACCATGCATTTCAGTTGTGAGCATCTATAGTAACTTCGTGGACACTCACTCCCCTTAACAAGTTTCTGTCCATATTTCCTCCAGTTATAACCATCTTTGGCAGGCCTCTCCATAGCATTGGGAGGAGGTTTGCTCAGTGATTGGGAGACCTCTGTGGGTTCATTCTTCAAACTATCTTGGTCAAACAACACATCATCCAGTTGACTTTGGAATGATTCGGTTCGGACGGAAGAAGATTCATGTTCTAATGCATCTAGAGGTGAAGATTGATGGTAATCAGTCTGCATTTGCAAATAAGACTGGTTTAATGCAGCCTGAGCTGTCACATGTGCCAAGGCTTGTTGGTGAGACATTCCAAAAGGACTCTGCACAAACATAAATAAAAAAACAATTCATGCCACTGAATGAATGAATGAATTGCTCAATGAAGACATCTCATTCTCCAGAGAGTAAATGACGAATACAATTTAGTTCAGTAGAAAATGACAACATCATTTTCCTTTTAAACAATGAATCTATAATCCTCTATTACATTAACAACAACATTTTTGATAATGTTCCATTCTAAAAAATCATATTTATTGAGTAATAGATTTAGAATTTGGTGGTAGGTGGTTTAAACTTTAAAGTGCTTACAAGATGGTGGTTCTTTAGAGCACACAAATATTGAAACTCATATGACAATTGTTGAGCTTACAAGATGCAGTTGTAAGTTGAGACAGAGATTATTGATACTAAAGTAAAATTTGAGGTTCCATACTAAGTA